TAATGATGCTGCTGCTGTTGATGATGACATCGCCGTGTCCGTCCAGGATGCAGGTTCCATTGGTGAAGAGTTGCAGCTCCAGGGCCTGGGCCGGAACGTAGAGCGACAATCCACGCGCCTCTCCATCCTCGTAGCTCACTGTGGCGGGGAGAGTGAGGCGGGAGAGAGAGAGGCGGGGGAGAGAGAGAGGCGGGGGAGAGAGGGCAGGGAGAGAGAGGCAGGAGAGCGACGATATTGTGGGCCGACTCCTTTTGCGAACGGTGGTTGAAAAAAAAAGAAACCCCAAACCCATACCGGGCTGGACGGTTCGGGTAAGCCGGTGGAAGCGAGTGTGCGTGCATGCGTGCGTGTGTGTGTGCGTGCGTGTGTTGTGCGTGCGTGTGTGCGTGCGTGTGTGCGTGCGTGTGTGCGTGCGTGTGTGCGTGCGTGTGTGCGTGCGTGTGTGCGTGCGTGCGAGTGTGCGTGTGTGCGTGCGAGCCAGCGCTCACCCAGCAGGGAGAAGGAGTTCCCCGCGCAGTCTCCCGCCAGCTGGTAGCTGCACACGCCGGAGAAGTCGTACACGCTGCCGTCGAACGTGTGCACCCAGCCGGGGCCGAACAGGCTGCACCGCACGGGCCGCTCGTCGCCTTCTCCTGCGCCAAACACAAAGTTCCCCGTGTAGCCTCAACAGACTGCTGGGCAAGTGCTGTTCGTAGCGAGGAGCGGCGCCTATGAAGGCCGGCACTGTGGGGCACGGATGGGGGTGGGTTGGCCAGCACCACGCCCGGCCGCCTTTGTCTCCTGCACCATCATCATTAGAAGCGGCAACAGCATCATCGGCACCCAGCATCAGGGAGGGAGGGGGGCGAGGGAGGGGGCGAGGGAGGGGGGCGAGGGAGGGAGGCGAGGGAGGGAGGGAGGCGAGAGAGGGAGGGAGGTATGGGGGCGAGGGAGGGAGGGAGGGAGGGGGGCGAGTATTTTGGTTGGGTTCGGGGTCACCACGGCGCAGTTGCCGGATGCGCGCGGCTCCGTGTGGCGCCACGCAGGGAGGAGGAGGGCGGTGTGCGTGCGACAGGGTGCCCGGAGCGCGGGTGGTGGTGGTGGTGGTGGTGCTGCTGTTGTTGCTGCTGCTGCTGTTTTGTCTTCGTGCCAGTGAGTCACAGTCCCTATGGCTCGCGGGAATTCCTGTCCCAGGGGCAGAGACCTCTTCCCACCACCCCACCCATCCCGACATCCACCACCACGACCACCACCCCACCCATCCCGACATCCACCACCAAGACCAGCCCTGCCCCCACGTCTTACTGGACATCTTAAAAGCTCTTCGAATTCCTCCAGTATGGATACATATCCTGATTCTTCTTCGTCTTCCCTTTGTCACGATGACAATGGTCAGGCAATGCTCGGGCATCGTCATCATCGTTGTCATCATCGGCATCATCATCGTCGTCATCATCATCGGTGTCATCATCATCATTGGCATCATCGTTGTTATCACCGTCATCATCGTCGTCGTCATCATCATCGGTGTCATCATCATCATCGGCATCATCGTTGTCATCATCATCATCGGCATCATCGTTGTCATCATCATCATCATCGGTGTCACATCATCGGCATCGTTGTCATCATCATCATCGTCCTCATCATTGGCATCATCATCGTCGTCGTCATCATCGCCGTCGTATTAATTGTTGTCATCATCATCAGAGATGAGCAGCTACCAATAACATCAGCAGTGTGATCGTGATGATGATGTTGATGACGATGATGTTGTTGAATGGTAATTATCGGTGGGCGACATCACCATCATCATCATCACCGTCATCATCACCGTCATCACATGCATCATCACATTCATCATCATGATCACCGTCATCATCATCACCGTCATGATCATCATCACCGTCATCATCATCACTGTCATCATCACCGTCATCACATGCATCATCACATTCATCTTCATGATCACCGTCATCATCATCACCGTCATCATCACCGTCATCACATGCATCATCACATTCATCTTCATGATCACCGTCATCATCATCACCGTCATCATCACCGTCATCACATGCATCATCACATTCATCATCATGATCACCGTCATCATCATCGTCATCATCACCGCCATCACATGGATCATCACCGTCATCATCATGATCACCGTCATCATCACCGTCATCATCATCACTGTCATCACCGTAATCATCACCCTCATCACAGTACCGCCTGGATCTTTGTGTCATTCAGGAGGTCCGGTGGACCGGCTCTGGCTCCTGCCACCATGAGAGGTGGACATTCCTCTACTCGGGGCAGGAGACTTTCAAACAACAGGGTGTGGCTCTTCTTCTGAATAAAAGAATGAAGGGGGCGTGGCAGCGTGGCGGTGAGGTGTGGGAAGCTGTAAGCCCCAGGCTACTTTGGGCTCGCCTTCCCATGAACCGGAGGCGAGGAGTGGTGGTCGTGGTTACTTATGCCCCCACCGAAGACCAACATCCATGGAGGGATGCAGGCAAAGCCGATTAGTCAGATGCCTTCTATGACCTCCTGTCACAGGTGCTGGCTAAAGAGTACCGGGGAATTTCCATTTGGTACAGATACAATGGGAGGCTGATCGATGCCCGAGTGCAGTCAAGGGATGGCTCTCTATTGGTCAACCACGTTATGTATGCCGATGATTTGGTAATTGCTGCTCATTCACACACAACTCCCAATCGGTGATGGGGCAGTTGTAGAGAGAGTGGAGAGTTTCCCATACCTGGACAGTGTGCTCATGACCGGCTCCGGTTTAACAGCAGAGGTCTCACTCCGAATCAGTCGAGCGGCAATATCTTTTCATCGGTTGCGTAACGCTGTGTGGAAGCTACTTGGTCTGTCGCTCCGCACGAAGCTTCAGGTCTTCTCGGCCACGGTCATTCCCTCCCTTTCTCTACGCTTGTGAAACGTGGACCCCCCCTAATGGAACATCTCCACCGGTTAGAAACATTTAGGCTGGCCTGCCTACGATAAATCCTGGGTGGTAACCAGGCTGGATTGTGTGAAGAGCTCACAAATCCTTGAAATATCTGGGCAAAGTCCCATCGGTGAGCTCCTCCGGCAGGCAAGGCTGCGTTGGCTGGGTCATGTCGCCCACATGCCCAGCCACCGCATGCTCAAACAGCTTTTGTTCGGCCGGATAGAGGGGGCTAAATGGGCATGGCACGGGCTAGAGATGGAGTGATGTGGTACAGGAGGACGTGGAGCTGAGTGGACTTGCCGATGACTGGTACCAGCGGTGTCAACATCGGCCTCAGTGGAGGAGGCTCGTGAAGAACGCTACTGGGCAGTTGGAGGCAGTCGCCCTCCAACAACAACGGAGGGCGGAGGAGCGACGCTCACAACAACGAGCGGAGCGCCGGGTGGCTAAAGCACAGCAAGTCGGCACAGTAGGGGGCACAGGTGGTGCATCAGCCAATCATCTCAGTCACTCGACCTGTGACCTCCTGCCAGTGGGCGTTCGACACTTCACGTGGCCTCAAGGTGCACATGGCCTGGCACAAGCGTCGTGGTGACGTCACCGCCACTTAGTGGCGAATGGCGGTTGTTGTTGTTGTGTGAGTGTTTGAGTGACTGCGTGTATGAGTGTGTGAGTGTCTGAGTGAGTGGGGAGCGGTAGTGTAGTGGTTAGCGCGCTGCGCTATGAACCCGGCGATCCAGGTTGGAATCCCGCTCACGGCCACCAACGCCAGTGACGATTATCCGCACCGGTCCTGGGTCTCCCCTCGGTCGACTCAGCCTCAAATGAGTACCTGGTACGGTGTGTAACGTCGCCACTGGGGAGACAAAGGCGGCCGGGCGTGGTGCTGGCCACCCACCCCTCGTGTGCCGTGCCGGCCTTCAAAGGTGCTCGCTAACAGCACTTGCCCCAACAGTCTGTTCAGGCTATACGGGGGACCTTTGTCTTTGTGTGAGTTATTGAGGACCGAGCAGGAATTGAAACTTGGTAAAGATAAATAAACAGAGCGACAACTGACAAAGGCCCCCCGTGTAGCCTACGTGGACTGTTGAGCCAAGTGCTGATAGCGAACACAAACTTTTGCCAACACACAGACACAGACAAACCAGATACAAAGACGAAGATCCCCCGTATAGCCTCTAAAAGACTGTTGGGGCAAGTGCTGCTGGCGAGTAGCACCTATGAAAGCCAACATGCACACACAGACAAGACATTTGCCAAGCTAAAGCTTCCCCATCAATAATTACGTAACAGACTGTTGGGGCAAGTGCTGTTCGCTAGTGCCTGTTCAGACCCGGCACGGCACACGCGGGGAGGTGGTGGTGGTGGTGGGGGTGGTGGTGGTGATGGTGCTGGTAATGGTGGTGGTGATGGTGGTGGTAATGGTGGTGGTGATGGTGGTGGTGGTAATGGTGGTGGTGATGGTGGTGGTAATGGTGGTGGTGATGGTGGTGGTAATGGTGGTGGTGGTGGTGGTGGGGGTTGTGGTGGTGATGGTGGTGGTGATGGTGGTGGTAATGGTGATGGTGGTGGTGGTGGTGGTGGGGGTGGTGGGGGGGCAGCACCACGTCCGCCCGGCCGCCTTTGTCTCCCCAGTTGCTGATGGTTGACACACTTCACCAGCTACTCATTTGAGGCTGAGTCAAACCAAGTGGAGGCGCAGGACCGATTCAAATGTTCACTGTCACTCTTGTTGGTGGTGGTGGTGATGGTGGTGGGGGTGGTGGTGGTGTTGGTGGTGGTGTTGGTGGTGGTGATGGTGATGGTGGTCGTGAGCGGGAATTGGAATCGGGGTCTCTGGCCGTGGTCGTAGGGCGGCGTGCTAACCGCTGCGCCACCGCTCCTCACGACGTGCTAACCACTGCGCCACCGCTCCTCACGGCGCGCTAACCGCTGCGCCACCGCTCCTCACGGCGCGCTAACTGCTGCGCCACCGCTCCTCACGGCGACCCCACACACAGAGGCACACCGACGCTGGGACACGTCTCGGCACAGCAGGCGACTCGATCATTCTTTGACGCGTCCTCTCCTCTCGATGCCTCCATTCATCCCGTTTCCGCGACGTGGTCATTGATAAAAAAAAACAACGCGAATTCCCATTCATAAAAACACATCCACGCGCGCGCGCCAGTAAGCAGCACCCATTGACAAACAGTACACAGACAAAGATCCCCCGTGTAGCCTCTTTGGGGCAAGTGTTGTCAGCAAGCACCTATGAAGGCCAAAGATCACGAGCCGTGCCGGCCTTCATAGGCGCTGCTACTCGCTAACTACTGGCTAACAGCGCCTGCTCCAACAATCAGTCCAGGCTACACGGGGGATCTTTGTGTTTTGTGTGTTGGGGGGGCGGTGGCGTAGCGGTTAGCGCGCTGCGCTACGAACCCGGCGAACCGAGTTCGATTCCCGCTCACGGCCAACCAACGCCAGTGACGATTATCTGAACCGATCCTGGGCCTCCTCTAGGTCAACTCAGCCTCAAATGAGTACTTGGTGCGATGTGTAAACGTCGCCACTGGGGAAACAAAGGCGGTCAGGCGTGGTGCTGGCCACCCACCCCCTCGTGTGCCGTACCGTCCTTCGTAGGTGCTACTCGCTAACAGCACTTGCCCCACCAATCTGTTCAGGCTACACGGGGGATCTTTGTCTTTATCTTTATGAACTTACCTTGAATTTCGCTCGCCGCGGTGAGTAGAGCGAACAGGGCGATAGACACCAGCTGGGGAGAGAGCACAACGCCGCGGGTTTCAGGTGCCAAGTTTGCCAGAGTGAAATGGTGAGTGAGATGGTGAGTGAGTGAAATGGTGAGTGAGTGAGTGGGATGGTGAGTGAGTGAAATGGTGAGTGAGTGAGTGGGATGGTGAGTGAGTGAATGAGATGGTGAGTGAGTGAGTGGGATGGTGCGTGAGTGAGTCATTGAGATGGTGAGTGAATGAGTGAGATGGTGTGTGTGAGTGAGTGAGATGGTGAGTGAGTAAGTGAATGAGTGAGATGGTGAGTGAGTGAATGAGTGAGATGGTGAATGAGTGAGTCAATGAGATGGTAAGTGAGTAAGTGAGTGAATGAGTGAGATGGTGTGTGAGTGAGTGGGATGGTGAGTGAGTGAGTCAATGATATGGTGTCTGAGTGAGATAGTGAGTGAGTGAATGAGTGAGATGGTGAGTGAATGAGTGAGATGGTGAGTGAGTGAGTAAGATGGTGAGTGAGTAAGTGAATGAGTGAGATGGTGTGTGAGTGAGTGAGATGGTGAGTGAGTGAGATGATGAGTGGAATGGTGAGTGAGTGAGTGAGATGGTGAGTGGAATGGTGATTGAGTGGGATGGTGATTAAGATGGTGAGTGGAATGGTGAGTGAGTGAGTGAGATGGTGAGTGGGATGATGAGTGAGTGATGGTCGGCGAATTAAATGGTGAGTGAGGGCATTGCGTTGTATGCAACTTGGTCGCAGAGACGTCCACACACATTCCCACTAAGTGTCACATCCATGCACACTGAGTGCCACATCCATGCACACTGAGTGTCACATCCACACACACTGAGTGTCACAGACGTGCCCTTCACATACCTTGGCCATGCCCTTGCCTACAGACATTAGACCCGTGAGGGTGCCGCTGTTGATCGCCACCACCACCACCAGCACCAGCAGCACCACCACCAGCAGCACCACCAGCACCACCAGCAGCAGCAGCAGCTACCGCATTTGTACGGATCCAGAGGCGGAGGAGGAGGCAAAAGGAGGGAGGAGGGAGGAACAGGAGGAGGAGCAGGAGGAGAAGGAGGTGTGAGAAAGAGGAGGAGGAGGAATAAACAGCAGGAGGAGTGAAGAGGGGAGTGAGCAGTGAGTTGGGATTCTCCGAGTTCGTTTCTCACGGTTCGATTCCCACCCCGCTCTTTCCCCTATTGCCTGCAACATAATGTTGCCAGACGACAAACTACAGACGACGTGTTGTTACTTGACCCGGTGAAGCCCCACTGAGTTACGACCTGGCTATCGCACGTGGTAGCGCTACGACGCAATGGCCCTTCTTCATCATCAGCATGGAAGTGTACAGCAGCAGCAGCAGCCAAAGGCTTGGTTCTTGATGTAGAGGAGAAGAACCGGTGGAGGACCCGGAGACAAATCCACGGAGTGACCACCACGGGGAGACCGAGAGAGAGAGACGCAGACTCCACGTACACAGCAGCAGCAGCAGGCGTCGTCAGGGTCGAACCCATGACCTCCTGTAGACCAGGCGAGGCAGTCAACATCTCCTAGCCACCGCGGTGATGATGATGAGAGAGAGAGAGACGCAGACTCCACGTATCATCACCATCACCGTCGTCATCATCGCCGTCGTCATCACCGTCATCATCATTACCGTCATCATCATCATCGTCGTCATCATCACCGTCGTCATCACTGTCATCATCACCATCATCATCACCATCATCACCATCGTCATCATCATCACCATCATCATCATTACCATCATCATCATTACCATCATTACCATCATCATCACCGTCATCATCATCGTCGTCATCATCACCGTCGTCATCACTGTCATCATCACCATCATCATCATCACCATCATCATCATCACCATCATCACCATCGTCATCATCATCACCATCATCATCATTACCATCATCATCACCGTCATCATCGTCATCATCACCATCATCATCATCACCATCATCATCATCACCATCATCATCACCATCATCATCATCACCATCATCACCATCATCATCACCATCATCATCATCACCATCATCATCATCATCACCGTCATCATCATCATCACCATCATCACCATCATCACCGTCATCATCATCACCATCATCACCATCATCACCATCATCACCGTCATCACCATCATCATCACCATCATCACCATCATCATCACCATCATCATCATCACCATCATCATCATCATCACCATTATCACCATCATCATCACCATCATCATCACCATCATCATCACCATCATCACCATCATCATCACCATCATCACCATCATCATCCACCATCATCACCATCATCATCATCACCATCATCACCATCATCATCATCACCATCATCATCACCGTCATCATCATCATTATCACATCATCACCATCATCACCGTCATCATCATCATCACCATCATCACCATCATCACCGTCATCATCACCATCATCATCATCACCATCATCGTCACCATCATCATCATCATCACCATCTCATCATCACCATCATCATCTCACCATCATCATCATCACCATCATCATCATCACCATCATCATCATTACCACATCAGCATCATCAGCACCATCATCATCATCACCATCATCAGCATCACCATCATCATCATCCATCAACCATCATCATCACCATCACATCACATCCTCATCATCATCACCATCATCATCATCATCACCATCATCATCCATCATCACCATCATCACATCATCATCATCACCATCATCATCATCAATCATCACCATCATCATCATCACCATCATCATCATCACCATCATCACCATCATCATCATCATCACCATCATCACCGTCATCATCATCACCATCATCATCACCATCATCATCACCGTCATCATCACCGTCATCATCATTACCATCACCATCATCATCATCACCATCATCATCATCATCATCACCCATCATCACCATCATCATCACCATCATCATCACCATCATCATCACCATCATCATCACCATCATCATCACCATCATCATCATCACCATCATCATCACCATCATCATCACTATCACCATCATCACCATCATCATCATCATCATCACCATCATCATCACCATCATCATCATCACCATCATCATCATCATCACCATCATCATCATCACCATCATCATCATCCCATCATCATCATCATCACCATCATCATCATCATCACCATCATCATCACCATCATCATCACATCAACATCATCATCACCATCATCATCACCATCATCATCATCACCATCATCATCACCATCATCACCATCATCATCATCACCATCATCATCATCATCACCATCACCATCATCATCATCACCATCATCATCATCACCATCATCATCATCACCATCATCATCATCACCATCATCATCATCACCATCATCATCATCATCACCATCATCATCACCATCATCACCGTCATCATCATCACCATCATCATCACCATCATCATCACCGTCATCATCACCATCATCATCATTACCATCACCATCATCATCATCACCATCATCATCATCATCACCATCATCACCATCATCATCATCATCATCCCCATCATCATCAGCACCATCATCATCACCATCATCATCACCATCATCATCACCATCATCATCACCATCATCATCATCACCATCATCATCACCATCATCATCACTATCACCATCACATCATCATCACCATCATCATCATCATCATCACCATCATCATCACCATCATCATCACCATCATCATCATCACCATCATCATCATCACCATCATCATCATCACCATCATCATCATCATCACCATCATCACCATCATCATCATCACCATCATCATCATCACCATCATCATCATCACCATCATCATCATCACCATCATCATCATCATCATCACCATCATCACCATCATCATCATCACCATCATCATCATCACCATCATCATCATCACCATCATCATCACCATCATCATCACCATCATCACCGTCATCATCATCACCATCATCATCACCATCATCATCACCGTCATCATCACCATCATCATCATTACCATCACCATCATCATCATCACCATCATCATCATCATCACCATCATCACCATCATCATCATCACCATCATCATCCCCATCATCATCATCATCACCATCATCATCACCATCATCATCACCATCATCATCACCATCATCATCATCACCATCATCATCACCATCATATCACTATCACCATCATCACCATCATCATCATCATCACCATCATCATCACCATCATCATCATCACCATCATCATCATCACCATCATCATCATCACCATCATCATCATCACCATCATCATCATCACCATCATCATCATCACCATCATCATCATCACCATCATCATCATCATCACCATCATCATCACCATCATCATCACCATCATCATCATCACCATCATCATCATCACCATCATCATCATCACCATCATCATCATCACCATCATCATCATCACCATCATCATCATCACCATCATCACCATCATCATCACCATCGTCATCACGCGACGCTTTCCGATGCGCTGCTTCTGCGGGCCGTCTGGAACGCTCTCCCCCCTTCCGATATCAGGAAGCCACTGGGCAGCTACGCACTTTTAAATCGACATCATCATCATCTGGGTTGACAAACTCGTTTCTCCATAACTGTTGTTGTTGTGTTTAGTTTGTCGACCTCTGATTAGCACGGTTGGCTACGTACGGTGCTAAAGAAGTTAAAAAAGATCCCCCTATATCCTTAACAGACTGTAGGGGCAGGTGCTGCTAGCGAGTAGCAGCACCTATGAAGGCCAGAACGGCACACGAGTGGGTGGGTGGCCAGCACCACGCCCGGCCGCCTTTGTTTCCCCAGAGGCGATGTTTACGCACCGTACCAGGTACTCATTTGAGGCTGAGTCGACCTAGGGGAGACCCAGGACCGGTTCGGATAATCCTCACTGGCGTTGGTGGCCGCGAGCGGGAATCAAACTCTGGTCGCAAGGTTCGTAGCGCAGCGTAGCGCTAACCACTACGCCACCGCTCCCCACCAAAGAAAGTTCAGCACACACACGCACACACACACACGCTGCACACGCACACACGCACGCACACACACGCACCCACACACGCACACACACGCACGCACACACACCGCGCCAGGTACTCTACTAATTTAGGGCTGAGTCGACCTAGGGGAGGCCCAGGACCGGCTCAATTATTCAACACCGTTAATGTGTCCGTGCGAGCGGGAATCGATCCCGGGTCACGGGGTTCGGCATCGCCTCGCGCTGCCGACTGTGCCCACCGCTCTCCTCGCCAGGACCCCATCCACCACCACCACCACTCAGCACTGTGTGGGGAGGTGGGTGGGTGGGTTGGGGGAGCGGTGGCGCAGTGGTTAACGCACTACGCTACGAACCCGGTGACCCGGGATCGATTCCCGCTAGCACGGCCACCGACATCAGTAACGGTTATCCGAACCGGTCACAGGCCCTCCCCTAGGTCGACTCAGCCTCGAATGAGTGCCTGGTGCGAGGTGTGAAAAAAACCATCGGCACTGGGGAGACAAAGGCGGTCCGGGCATGGTGCTGGCCACCTCACCCCCTTGTGTGACGTGCACGGGCCTTCATATAGGCGCTGCTACTCGCTACCAGCACTTGCCCCAAACATGTTGTGAAGGCTACACGGGGGATCTTTGTCTCTGGCGAGGAATGTTTGTGTGTGTTGGGGTCAGGCGTTGAGTGTGTTTAAGTGTTCCCCGTTAATTATGTTCCAGCGGTGAGAATGGTCGGAAGGAAATGGCATTGTGGGAATGGTGGTTGGGGGTGGGGAGAGCCTTGTGGGCTGTCTGCTGGTCACCCATCTCGCTCGCTGGAGCAAGCGCCCGAACGAGTTCCCAGCCCCGGCGGGGTTCGGCGTCGAACCTGGCACGTGCCGGATGATCCCAGTAGCACAAGTGGCTGCATATGTAGCAGCTACTACATATGTAG